AGAGAGAGAGAGAGAGAGAGAGAGAGAGAGAGACAGATTTCTTTGAGTGTGAGAGAGCTTTATTTGTGCATGTATTTGCGCGGAAGAGAGAGAGAGAGAGCACTTTGTTTTTGGGGTGTAGTTTGCATAATGTTGCAACCTTAAACAATCAAATTAAGACGAACCTATAAATTTTATCATAAAATATAATTTTGGTGTAAAAAATTCTTAATATGGCTTAAGAATTTATTTTCATATATAATTATAAAATCTTGAACTTTAAAAATAATTCAAATCAAGTAGATCGATAAATATTTTTGCAAGATACATTATTTTGAGGACTCAAAATATTTTTTTGTTTTTATATTCATACATCTCAATGTCGAGATTATCAATTAGATCTCCAATATCAAAACAATGTTTTACGATGGATTTTTGGGGTGCATCTTAATCCTACATTTTAAGGTTTCAACCTTATATAAACCTGTTTTTTTGTATTTGTACGTGTATGTGAGAGATATTAAGATTGACAACAATGACTTGGGTTAACATATACAATAAACAATGGGAAGACTTTGACAAGAGTTAATTGGTAATGGCGTGCGGTTTGTATAGAGCCTAGGCTCTAAACAATCAAATTAGAGCCTACCTTCAAATAGTATCGAGAAATATGGTTTCAATATTCGAAATCATTGTGATAGCCTTAAAATATATTTTTATATTTATTTATAAAGACTAAAGCTTTAAAGATAGTGTAGATCGACAGATCTATAAAAACTTGGAAATTTTTAAAATTGAGGATCCAAAAATGTGTTAAAAAATACACTATTTTAAAAATTTGAAGTCCATGTGTTTCTCATGTCCATACATCTTGATGTCGAGAAATGTTGAGATGATCAATTGGATAATATTTGGGCATCAAAACAACCTTTTCTAGTGAAAGTTTTTAGAAAGATTCTAATTTGATTGTTTAGAGCCTAGGCTCTATATAAACTTTTCTCATTGGTAAGGGGCTCGTTCACGTTTTATTAAAAAGAAGAATTACATTTTGCTCCCTTTTCTGAGAAAGAAGAATATATGGTGAGGAGTCACTTGCTTTTCCTTACCAAATGAATAACAAGGCTCACTTTTTTATAAAGGGTGAGGTTTGTATAAGGCTACCTTCTTATACTGTTGAAGTAAGCCACACTTATAAAATTTGTTGGAAATATGGCCTAGCCTAAATTCCAGTAGTATCTCATTCTGTGGGAGCAATTGAGAGATTGAAATCTTGACGTCTTGCGAAATGGAGCCCAGATTCTTTCACCCCGAGTACGCATGAGGCATCGAGAGTTCACGTGTTGAGAAAGAAATTTCTCAAGGAGGTGTGAGGGTCACCTCCTAGTCAGGATTTTATAGGTTAGCCTCATGTTTCGCTGCAATTGGCCAGACTTGGAGAATCCAAATGAGAAAAATAGAACCCGATTATTTATTGAGTATTCGCCCTGTATGAAATGGTCAAGACTTAAGAGACATCAATCCCCATCCTGACATGAGACCATGCATAGCATGTGCATTTTCAGTTCGTACGGGAAGCCACTCTTCCAAATGTAATATCCAAGTTTGGAAGAGCCAGTGCACATGTGTTTTGAGAGGACCCTTGTAATTGAGTTGGATCTTGTCCAACAGGGAGACACATGTAATCCATTGGGAGCCAAATGATCGAAAGTTCTGGCTCAACGGTTTTGATATGACCAATTATGTGTCACTGCTTTAGACTGTAGAACGTAGGTCTATTGGGTCGATCTGAGACTCGACGAAACATCATTCGAGACTAGCTCAATGGAGTACTCCGATACCTATAGTTATTAGCCTGGGATCTCTCTATACCTTTTATCCAATTTTATAATGATGAAAAAAACCTAATAATTGCTCAAAAATACTTTAAATATTTATTGTGAATTTTAGAGAATTATTTTGGAATTTTATTTTCTAAAAAATTAATAATAAGGGTTTTCTTATTGTTTGGCTCAAATTTCACTATAATCCTGACCTGGTAGTGTCATGTGACGTTCGAGTGGCCATAAGACACATGGCACCCACACCTCACTCTAGGATCACTGCCCAGCTGGGCACTGATCCCTAGGCAGGGAACTACATTTGCATTTGGTTGCTTATTTTATAAGGGGTTGTGCTATGGTGTCTTATTATATATTGTTATATTTTGTTATATAATATTATAAACTAAGGCCCTCTTTTTATCACGTCTTAATTAACTCACACATGGGTCATGCATGGCATGTATGAAGTTTAATTAATTAATTTATTTGATATTAAAGAGAAAATGTATTTTCAAATTTGAGTTGAAAAATATCTTCACACACATGTGTAAAGGGGACATTATCTTTAAATTTATTGATTTGAACTTTTAGATCTACAAAGTGGTTGGCTTTGATAAAGAAGAATATGTCCACATGTGTAAGCTTTGCCAATTACTTCTTTGCCTTTTAGTCTTTGTGGTTATCTACTCTAATACATTATTAAAAACAAACTAAGGGTATTTTTGTACGGCCATATTTGATATAATTGGAACAAAAACATGGGCCAAGTACAAAATGGTAAAGTGGCATAACTTAGAGTTACGGTAAGTGATAATAGTGTAAAATTCCATCCCTTCATCCTAGTGGTTGGATGTGGATGGGTGGCTTGGTACATTAGCCTCTCACGTACCTTTGGATTAGTGCATAAAGGGTGTTGATTGAATCCAAAGTTACACTCATGTTATAACAGCACACTATCTCAACTCTTGAACTATTTTGGAAAATTGTTGCTCCCCTCCTTCTAAGGTTTTGTGAGAGAAAATTGAAGAGAGAGAGCTTTTAAAGTTCCATTAATGGTGACCTTGATGGTGGTCCTTCTTTCTTATGCTTAAGTCTATAGTGTGCATTTATCAAGGTAAACTCCATTGAATTTGTTTTTCTCATAAGATCATATCCTTGGCATCTATAGTTGCTGGAGTTTTGAATTTCGAAAATTTTCATTGATCTTAGAATCCCCATTTGATCAACTTTTTCATCATGCTTTTTTATAGTATGGCCCTTCGTGAGTTATAGCCTATATGCATGAGAATCCATGATCATGCATAGTATCCCTTAATTATTTTGTTTCAAACCCATCAAATAATTTAGTTTCAAAGTGTCACTCCATGTTTAGAAATTTTTTATCACGTTTTTACCTATAGGGGTTCATAATCTTTTCATACAAGACTGTTTTTGTGGTCTGAGGGACCACCGTGTGTAGTTTAGCCATAACTCTCTTGTTCTTTATCCGATTTGATTCAAAGCTTTTGCATCTTGTTTTGGATGATAATTCTAGTGTGTTGAGATCTTAAGAAGTTATTTTAAGGTTTGTAAGTTCTTCCCATTTGGATTAGACATCCTTGTGACATTGAACCACTTTTGTACAATCCGAAGGGACAAAATTAAGTCCTTATATGTCCCAATTACATAGCTCCAGCACAAGGGGTTTGAAACATGGCTTCCCTATTTTAGTTTGGAATTATAATTTCCTGTTTAGTTCATTTTATTCTTTAGAATTTTGTTTAGATTAGTTGCATGATGTATTTAAGCTTTGGGACATAGTTTATGTAATTTGTGCTATGAAAGTGTAATTCATAAACTAGTCTTGCTTTATATGTAATTTCCCTATAAGGGGTTGGTATTTGAGTTTATTTACAGTGGTTATATAAGGCTAGAACTGGTTGTAATTTTTATATAAAAAAATTGAAACTTATTCACCTAGCTTGATTTTTAGCAAGTGGCTTGTTGAAGGTATCTATTTTGCCTTGTTTTTGGGCTTAGAAATTTTCTCTAGTCTTTGTATCCCCTTTCAATTGGTATCAGAGGCAGCTGCATTTACATCCTCTTTTAGGGTCTTTAGAGGGATTATAGAGTGTCAAATAGGAACCCATAGCAGCCCGTTCAATACTCACCGAATTGCTTAAGGATAAGAGGTTTAATGGAACCAACTTCTCCGAATGGAGAAGAAAAACTTGTTATGTGTTTCCTGAAGATGATCTATTGCCATTATTGGTTTCTAGACCACGCAATCCGTCGGCATTCAATGTTCCTCAAGTTGTTAAGGATGAATATGAGATATGACATAACAAAAACCAAAGTGCCATGAATATTAATTTTGCAACCATTAGTGATTCCTTTGTTAAGGAGTATAAAAATTCCATATGTGTCAAAGATATTATAGAGAGCATGAAAAAGAAATACGACACACCAAATGAAGCTCAAAGGATCATTAGAATGAGGAATTGCATGTGTTGCAAAATGGATGATCACACCAAAGTGGGTGATCATCTAAGAGAGTTCAAGAGTTGTATAAGAGAGAGTGAGAGAGTCGGTCACTCATATGATGAGGTGACACAGAAGACGATGTTTGTGCTTTCGATCTCTCCCTCATGGGAGACCCTTGTGGCCAATTTGATGGCCAAAGATAAGCCTACAACAGTGGAGGAGATTGCATTTTTTATGAAAGGGGAAGGGCAAAGAAGGATGGTAATGGACGGACTATTTTTCATGGTCCATATAGTAAAATCTCACCAACCCTCATCTTCTTCTACTCCCTTACTCATTACTTCTATCTCTACTTCTCTTCTTAACTCTTTTATAGTGAATACATGTATTGTGGGAGTGAGTAGGAGTGATAATGTTAAGAACAAGAAAAGAAAGGGGAAAGGCATATGGAAAGGGAAGGGGAAGCAAAAGGGAAAATCATACTCTCATTAACCATTTAGCCCTTACCCTCCTAAAACTCATGCTTACCCACCAAACCATGCAAGCCTCATGCCTTTTAGGCCTAAACCACCACCCACACCCATGATGGTAGGTGGGAGGTCAGTTTGGCCCTCAAGCCAAGATTATTCGAATGTACAATGCTTTAGATGCAAGAAATACGGACATACCTAAAAGTTTCGTAGGTATCCTCCTCCTCCACAAAACCCTCATTTTGCTCTTAAGCCCAATACCGGTAAGCTTCAAGCTAATACCAATGGAAGACCAAGGAAACAGAGAGCTTGCGAGGTCCATGAGACTTTGATTGTCAACGAGGAGGCAGATGTGTGGGTTCTTGACTTGGGGGCTACTATCCAAGTGATAAATTCTATGAAGGGCTTTAGAAGGTTTTATGATGTCAAACTCGATACCCATAATCTTATATGGATGGAAATCAAATGGAAAGGGTCTTAGGAAATGGGACTATGTGTTAGAGCTCACAATGGTAAGACTCTCGTGCTTAAGGACACCCTCTATGCACCCGGGATGAGGAAGAATCTCATTTGGGTTTCCAAGATAAGTAAAGCCAAGTTTGTGCCCTTGTTCAAGGAGGAAAAGGTCTAAGTGCATGATGGCTCTATTAATAAAGACCTTGTTTTTATAGCTCACTTGGTTCAAGGGCTTTATGAAATCAAAATGAAAAAGGAGTTTGCCTACATGGGTGATGATGTAAAAAATTTTACTTTATGGCATTTAAGGTTAAGTCACATTAATCCATCGAGAATGCATATTATGATGAAAGAATGATTGCTTGATAAAATGAATATCGATTCTCGTAATAGATGCGATGCATGCCTTAAAAAAAAGATAGTAAAGAAGTCCCACCAAAAGGTCGAACGGGTCTCTAGTCTTTTAGAATTAATCCACTCAGATGTGTGTGGACTTATGAATGTGTCTACCATAGGGCACATGAGGTACTTCATAACATTCATTAATTACCATTCCCATTTGGTCACACCTATCTCATTCCCATTTGGTCACACCTATCTCATGAGAAACAAAAGTGAAGCCATAACCAAATTCGAACAATATAAAGTGGAAGATGAAAACCTACTAGGTCGAACCATCAAAACCCTTAGATCAGATAAGGGTGGGGAACACACCTCCCAAGCCTTCCAAGATCTTTGTGTCCAATATGAAATTGTCTACAAAACCACCATGCCTTACTCACCCGAAAAAAATGGGGTTGTCGAGGGAAGGAATAGGGCCGTAGTTAAGATAGTTGAGATAGTGCGAAGTATGATAAGTACTGTTAATCTTGGATTAGAGTTTTGGGGGAAGGCGATTTTAACCACCACATATGTCCTTAATCGGACTCCCACCAAAGAAATTCAATCAAGTCCGTACCAACTCTTCATGGGCCAACCTACCTTAATAAAGCACCTCAAGGTTTGGGGATGTTCAGCCCATGTTCTCATGCCATCCCAAAATAGGTCCAAACTTGATCCTAAAACCATAAAATATGTATTCATAGGATACCCATGTCATGGGAAGGGTTTTAAGTTTTATAACCTTTTGAATCGTAATGTGATTGAAAGCCTTGATGGACATTTCCTTGAATATCAATTCCTTGAGAGAGAATCAACCGAAAAGACAGTAGACTTCCATGAGCTTCAGCCTAACAAAGAAATTGAAACGATCCCACATAGGCGAACTAAGAGAATAAAGAGACCACCTACCTTTTCCACTTACCTTGGGGAGTACTATGAAAGGATTAGTGAAGAACCCAATGATGAACCTTATTCTTACCTACATGCTATCTCTTATCCAAATAATAAGTTATGGAAGGAAGTCAATCAAGATGAGATATATTCAATCACAAAGAACCATGATGGGAGTTAATTCAATTACCACCTAACCTTAGATCCATATGATGTAAATGGATATTCAAAAAGAAACTTAACTCCAAAAGGCGTATTTTTCAATACAAGGCAAGACTTGTAGCAAAAGGTTTGACTCAAAAGAAAGGGGTAGATTATTTTGACACCTACTCACATGTTGCCAAAATGCCTTCAATTAGGATGACCATATCCATGACAGCCAACCTTGACCTAAAATTCCATCAAATGGATGTGCAAACCACCTTCTTAAATGGTAACTTAGAAGATGATATATAAATGAACCAACCCGAGGGTTTTGTTGTGAAAGGAATGAAAAAGTTCGTGTACAAACTTAACAAATCACTTTTTAGTCTCAAACAAGCTTCAAGAAGATGGTTTGTTAAATTCCACCAAACCCTGGATAGATATGGATTCAAACCAAATGAGGATGACCATTGTGTGTACCATAAGACCAATGAGACTGACATTACTTTCATGACTTTATATGTGGATGACATTCTAATAGCTAGTAGCACCCTAGACCATATAAGCGACACAAAAGCAACGCTATCAAGTAATTTTGATATGAAAGATATGGGAGAGGCTTCATATGTGTCAGGGATTCATATTATAAGAGATTGAGCAGCCCGCACTATTCAATTATCTTAATCTACATATTGCAAGAAAGTTCTTGAGAGATTTGGTATGAGTGAATCCAAGCCTATAGATACACCTGTGGAAAAGAGAGGAAAATTAAATGTCAATATGAAACCAAATAATGATCTTGAGAGAAATGAGATGGAAAGGATCCCGTATCGGAGTGTCGTAGGATCACTAATGTATTTAACCATGGGAATTAGACCCGAACTAGCTTTTGCTCAAAGCTTGATTGGTTGATTCCAAAGGGATCCTGGATTAGAACATTGAAAAGCTGTGAAAAGAATAGTGAGGCATTTGAAAGGAACATTTGATTATGGATTAACCTATGGTAATGGGAGTGAGCTTAAAGTTTTGTGATACACAGACTTTGACTACCAAGGAGAACTGGATGACTCGAGATCCACTTCGGGTTATCTATTTCTATAAGGGGGTTGGTGTTATTTCTTGGCTCACCAAGAAGCAAGACATTATAGCCCTATCTAGCATGGAAGCCGAGTATATGGCTTTAAGTTTCGCAACTTTATAAGCCATTTGGATTAATAAGTTCTTGAATCATCTAAACTTCAACCCTCTAAAACATGGAACTATTAGAATCATGTGTGACAATCAAGTTGCAATAGCAATGGTAGTTGAACCAAGGTTCCACAGCAAGTCAAGGACATTAATGCTCGATATCATAGAGTAAGAGAAGAGATAGCAGCTGGTGAAGTAGAAGATGGTTACATTTCATCTGAGGCTATGCATGCAAATCCATCAATCAAAGGATTAGGGGCAAATGATTTTATGAGGCATGTGCATGGGATGGGCTTAAGGAGGTTGACATAGTTGTTATTACTTTGTCTATTACTTATGAATGACAAATCCATGGATAAGTATGCATGCCTTGATTTATTGTGAACGATAATGAGAGAGAGATGCATACGAATTTAGGCCTCATAAGGCCAAGCGGGAGATTGTTAAAAATATGGCATATCAAAGCCTCAATTCCAGTAGTCTTTCATTTAGTGGGAGCAATTGAGAGATTCGGCGTCCTGCGAAATGAAGCCCGGATTCTTTTACCCCGAGTACGCATGAGGCATCAAGAGCTCACATGTTGAGAAAGTAATTTCTCAAGGAGGTGTGAGGGTCACCTCCTAGTCAGGATTTTATGGGTTAGCTTCATGTTTAGCTGCAATCGGTTAGGCTTGGAGAATCCAAATGAGAAAATAGAACCTGAGTACTTGTTGAGTATTCGCCATGTATAGAATGATCAAGACTTATGGGACATAAGTCCTTATCCTGACACGAGACCATTGCATGGCATGTGCATTTTTATTTCGTAAGGGAAGCCACTCTTCCAAATGCATTATCCGAGTTTGGAAGAGCCAGTGCACATGTGCTTTGAGAGGACCCCAATAATTGAGTTCAATCATGTCCCACCGGGATACACCTATAATCCATTGAGAGCCGAGTGATTGGAAGTTCTGGCTCAACAGCTTTGATATGGTCAATTATGTATTCCTACTTTAGACTGTGGAACATATGTCTATTGGGTCGATTTGAGACTCGACGGAACATCATTCAAGACTAGCCTGATGAAGTATTCTGATACCTATAGTTATTAGCCTGAGATCTCACTATACCTTTTGTCTGATTTTATAATAATAAAAAAAACCTAATAATTGTTCAAAAATAATTTAAATATTTAATGTGAATTTTAAAAATTTTTTCGGAATTTTATTTGCCAAAAATAAATAAATAAGGCTTTTCATATTGTTTGGCTCAAATTCCACTTTAGTCCTGACCTGGTAGTGCCATGTGGCATTCGAGTGGCCATAGAGCTGCCCCATGGCACCCCACACCTCACTCTAAGATCACCGCCAAGCTAGGCACTGATCCCTAGGCGGGGGACTAGATTGGCATTAGGTTGCTTGTTTTATAAGGGGTTGTGTTATGGTGTCTTGTTATATAATGTTATATTTTATTATAATTGTTATAATTAAGACGTCCTTTTTATCACATGTCTTAATTAACTCACACAAGCGTCATGCATGGCATGTGTGAAGTTTAATTAATTAATTTATTTGATATTAAAGAGAAACTGGATTTTCAAATTTCAGTTGAAAAATATCTTCACACGCATGTGTGAAGAGGACATTATCTTTAAATTGATTGGTTTGAAATTTTAGATCTACAAAGTGATTGGTTTTGATACAGAATAATATCTCCACATGTGTGAGCTTTGGCAATTACTTATTTGCCTTTTAGCCTTTGTGGTTATCTACTCTATTACATTATTAAAAAAAACTAAGGTTATTTTTGTAAAGCCATATTGGATATAATTAGAACAAAAACACGGGCCAAGGACAAAATGGTAAAGTGGCATAACTTAGGGTTAAGGTGAGTGATAATAGTGTGAAATCTCATCCCTTCAATCTAGTGGTTGGATGGGGATGGGTGGCTAGGTATATTAGCCTCTCATGTACCTTTGGATTTGTCCATTAAGGGTGTTGATTGATTCCAAATTTACACGCATGTTATAAAAGCACATCATGAGATCTCAAACTCTAACTACCTCAACACTTGAACCATTTTAGAAAATTGTTGCTCCCCTCCTTTTTCTAAGGTTTTGTGAGTGAAAATTGATGAGAGAGAGCTTTTAGAGTTCAATTAATGGTGATCTTGATGGTCGTCCTCCTTTCTTATGCTGATGTCTATAGTGTGCATTTATCAAGGTAAACTTCATTGAGTTTTCTTTTCTAAGAAGATCATATCTTTGGCATCTATAGTTGTTGAAGTTTTTAATTTATAAAAGTTTAATCGATCTCAGAATGCTCATCTGATCATCTTTTTTATCATGCTTTTTCATAGTATGGTCCTTCATGAGTTATAGCCTATATGTATGAGAATCCATGA